TTTAAATTATATCAGACTGCTAGAACTAGGCTTTATTGATGCACTAGAAGCTAAAAGCCTTGGAGTTACAGTGGTGTCTCACTTGATGACGTTAATTTCGTTCCAGCGAAATTGCTGCAGAGCGAAAACATCATCAAACAAAATAAAAAACCCCATTGAAATGCATTGAAAACCGTTCAATGCGTTCCAATGGGCTGAATACCTGTTCGTCCAGCAAAGATCCTCCATACGGTGGCCATTTTCTGGTGCCTGTTAAGCGAAAAATCAGTCCTAAAAACAGCAAGGGGCCATTTTCTTCAGCTGGTGGCCATTTTGAAACCTGATGATCAGCTGTTTGCTGATCGTCGTAAAGTGAAAATCCATTCCCGAAGCAGGGAACCGATCATCGTTAAACAACAACAACAAAAAAACCCCCCAACCCATTTAAAACACTGTTTTGTGATCTCAAAAGCGATCGCAAAAACCTAATCTTATAGCTATCTCCACGTTAAGCGAGGGGTGACTGTATAAGCAATACCAGATTACAGAAATAACACAATCATAACTGCAAGAAATGGCTATATTAGGAACAGCATATATACTATGTCAATAAAAGATACTTAGGTTCTTGGTTAAAAGTTGTGTCTGTTATATAAAACCAATCAATGTTTTTGTGCCTGGTATTTTTTTAATAATCACCATCATCACCATCATCTGCAGAGCTGGAAGGATCATCAAGTCCAGCCCCTGTCATACTTACAGGTTGCGTTGATAAGTGGAACCTAGTAGACAGAGGAAGAAGGAAGTAGAGGTAGTATTAGAATTTGGATGGGGAAAAAAACAAAACGTACGATCATAGAGACCAGCATTTTCTGTTAAACACCTACAAGCTGTTAGATCTTTGGTTCACAGAAAATTAAACCATAGTGATCTTAGGTTAGCTGGCACGCTTGAGAAATATATTTTTGACGAAAGGATGAAAATGGAACTAGTGCTGTTATAATTGGCACATGCAATTCTTCCCGAAGCTAGAAAGTCCTCATTAAGTTCTGCTAAACAGAATAAATTGCTATTCATGTGAAACAGATGAGAAGTATTCTACTTTTACCCACTAGTATTGCTAGCCCATGTTTCAAAACGGTTTGTCCCTCCCTGTATACAAAGCCAGTGGAATTCTTCTTGATTTCCTCTTGTGCACACACTCTTTGGAACAGTATATATATATTTCCTTTTGTGCACACTCTCTTTGGAACAGTATATATATATTTGGATGCACAGGAGTGAGAGTTGCGGATGGAGGGAGAGGACTTATTCTGCTACAGCAGGTTCTCAAAGTGCATTAGCAGATTCTGGCTCAGCGTAAAGATTTAAAAGTCCCGTAGGCTCTCACAATCACATGCCCCCTGGATATTTCAGGATAGGCATCTAAATCAAGATACATATTTTTTTTTTTAAAAAAGATACAATTGAGTAAAATACCAAGTAGTGAATGAAAATTACAAAGGCAACATTAGATAATACACTTTCTGCAAAACTCTGGCTGTCTCTACTCGTCCTCTTAAGAATTTGTTGCAGATTCTGCCACTAAGTCCTTGTTTTTAGGGCTTGCCGATTAGATATATGTTTAATCTGGTATACCTCTGACATTAAATAATCTCATTGTTCACTTTCCTTTCTAGACCTAGTGGCAAGTTTCCATGGAGGGGCTTAGTGCTTTTTTTTTAATGATTAAAATGTAGCAGTGAATTAACTTCTGAGATGAGAGAGAGGAAATAGCGAGGGAGATAACTTCAGAAATAGCCATTCATTGTGCAACGTTCGTTCCAGACCTCATAGAGTTTACTGAAATGTGACTAGAACACTTTTTACTTCTTCACTGTACTTTTATGAAGAGGTATTATGAGGAGGAGAAGGGGACGACAGAGGATGAGTGAAATGTGACTACAACACTTTTTACTTCTTCGCCAAACTTTTATGAAGGGGTATTATGAGATAATAGGATCTGTTGACTTCCCTGCGTTAGTTTGCTCCCTGTCTGTAGTGAGCTGGTTGGACGGAGGCAGTTTTCTAGGCCTCCTAACTGTAACGGATGTGCGGAAATCTCAGAGATGTCCCCATGTGGTTGTTCACATTGGCCCTTACTCTACAATAAAGAAATCCAGATGCATATCAAAATTGCTGTTGTGAAGATTATAGGATCTGTTGACTTCCCTATATTAGTTTGCTGCCTGTCTGTAGTAAGCCGGTTGGATGGAGACAGTTTGCTAGGCCTTCTAACTGTAACGGATGTGCTGAAATCTCAGACGTGGTTGTTCACATTGGCCCTTATTCTACAATAAAGAAAGCCAGATGCATATCAAAATTGCTGTTGTGAAAGGACAATGGGACAAGTGGCAGAGATGTTATATATGTTTCTAAGATGATTCATAGCCTGGAGAAAGTGAATACAGTACAGGAAGAATGAATAGGAGTATGTTTTTCTCTCTCTCCGTCCCCTCCCCAATTATTAGAATTCGAAATGATGAGACATTCATGGCAGAAAAAGAAATACCTTTTTTTACACAGTGCATAATTAGAGTGGAACTCAGTGTCAGAACAGTTAGTGACAGGCAGCAGCTTAGATGGCATTCAAAGCAATTAGTGAAGTTCATGGAGGAGAAAGGGGCTGATAGTCATAAGGGACATTGCTCCCAAGCCACATACTTCCAAATACCAATTGCTGGCGAACAGATGTGGGAGGATGCTGTCACTCCCACCTGTGGACCTCTCCTACACACCTGGTTGGTCCCTGCGTTGGGGGATGCTGGAATAGATGGGCTTTTGCAGCATGCCAGCAGTTCATTATGCCATAAGTGATTGGACTTCTTAGGGTTAGCAAGCTGATTAGCACGGATTGTGGGGTGAGTTAAAATTTTCTGGTGGGTTGTTTTGGAGGAACGATTAAGAAAAGATGTTTAGTAGAAAAAAGATCAGTCCGGCATTATGAATTTGCAGGCGACATCAGCAGGACCATCTAGAGTTCAAATCTTAAATCGGCTGTAAATAGAAAATAGCCCCCCCCCCACACACAAAGAGGACAGGAATTACTGGCACTAATTTATATGGCTTCATTTCTCACTAGGCACTTGATTTGTAGAACAAACTATTCCTGTAGTTTTCAATTTTTCCTGATTCAATTAGGAATTTTTTTTCCCACAGATTGAATCAAATTGGTTCTGCCTGTTTTCCTTGGTTTCCCTAACTAATGAAAACTGACTCAGCTTTCTTTCAACCGTTCCTTCTGTAAGGCTAATAGCACGGCCACCTCATTGTTCCATTTTCCTCCTTTAGCATCAGCATAACTGGCATTAGTCATTGTTCTTCTAACGCTTTTTAATGTGTTTGGAGACAGACTTGTTCATAGCTTAAGCCATGGCCAACCATGACAGTTACCTTTCTATGCCTCGCACTACCCTTTCAAGTGAAATTATTTAAGTACTCATGGACCATTTTACATCCTTACCCCTTTTTAAAAAAAAGCCGTCTGAATTGGGCCTGTGATACGTACTGCCAAGTCTCTGAAGTTCTTTTTGTTCTTGCTCATGAACACATTTCATTATCCACGGTGTAAGTCAAAATAATTAAAAAAGTTGTATTGATATGTTTCTGCCTTTAGCACAATAGTGTGGTGGACGGTTTAGAAATTTTAATGTAACTAGCATCTTACTCTCAAACTTTTGTTTTGGAGCTATCTGCTAAGAACACTGATGTAATGCCTTGTGAAATTGCATCAATCATTGCACCCATTCTTTTCTGATAGTGAAAGAAATCTGGGAAGTGGTTGTTGTGGGTTTTTCGGGCTGTTTGGCCATGTTCTGAAGGTTGTTCTTCCAAACGTTTTGCCAGTCTCTGTGGCCGGCATCTTCAGAGGACAGCACTCTGTGCTCTGGTGTAGTTTGCTTGGGAGTTGAGTATTTATGGCTGTGAGATAGATAGGCTTTTGTCCTTTTCAGGAGATGGGTGATTAGTCTTTAAAACAAATGTATATTTTGAACTATCCAGTGTTGAAATTCTATATACGAGGTCACTTAGTTCTTCTGACTTGCACAACTTAATTCCCACAAACAGGCATACTACAGTTTTAAAACATGTGATCTGGAATCATTTGGTGGTCCAAGCCACAGTAAATCCACTGAATCAGTGGTATTTCTTTCCATGTAGATTCACAGTTCAGCAGTGGATTCCATGGATCTATTACAGTTGTGATTAGCAATTAGATTTAGGCTTTGGAAGATATATTCTCAAGACTTCTTTAGAATACACACTGTGATGGTTGTGGTCGTTTACCAAACAAGGATGCTGTTTATTTTGTTTATTTACAATATTTATATGTTGCCTTTCTCCCCATAGGGGGCCCAAGGTGGCTCACAACAGATAAAATAAGAAATTTAAAAACTCTGGTATATACAGAATGTGTGGTGTTGAAGACATGGTCTGTCTTCCAAGCAAGCTTTGTTCAATATGACCGGCAATGTTAAGGAGGATTCTCAAGGATTATTGGAACAGAGTTTGAAAACTATTTAATTCTTAGTTTTGCAGGTATGGCAATTGTAAATGTGTTGTGTTGTTCTTTTGGGTTCTGATTTGTTGCCTTCCACTGTTTGGGTGTTTGCAAGGATAGGTTAAACAAGACGTTCGTTTATACGAATGCTGCTAATAGGATAGAGCCTCGTAAATGTGTTGTGTTGTTGTTCTTTTGGGTTCTGATTTGTTGCCTTCCACGGTTTGGGCGTTCGCAGGGATAGGTTAAACAAGACGTTCGTTTATACGAATGCTGCTAATAGGATAGAGCCTGGAATCTGATTGCAAACAGGCTTTACTGAATTGATGGGGCAGGAGAAGTAAAGAAGGAGGAGGATCAAGTTTGCATGATGAAAGGATATAGGTTATTCGAGGAGGATTGCATTTGAGCATTTGAATGATCATAACTTATTAGCAATTTGTGATTCACCTCTTGTATTCATCCTTTTTTCAATAGGATGATGAAGTCCTCTTTACATTCAGAAGAGGATGACTTTGTTCCGGATCTTCAAAGGAGCATCCATCCACGTGAACGACCCGATTGGGAAGAAACACTTAGTGCAATGGTAAGACACCCTCTTTTGTTGACTATAATCCTTAATGTGTTTTCTGATTTGTAGAACTTAACTTAACATTGCTCATTATTCTTTTCAAATCATTATGCTGATTACTTTGTAGACTTGGGAATTATGAAAAGCATCACATCCTTTCAATGTTTACCTGTAAAGAAGAGGAGTTGATAGGGATGTTGCCTGGTCACTCTGTCCCATGACTATGTGCCCTGAAGCATGGCTAGTGATCATTGTTTTCTGATTTGTAGAACTTAACTTAACATTGCTCATTATTCTTTTCAAATCATTATGCTGATTACTTTGTAGACTTGGGAATTATGAAAAGCATCACATCCTTTCAATGTTTACCTGTAAAGAAGAGGAGTTGATAGGGATGTTGCCTGGTCACTCTGTCCCATGACTATGTGCCCTGAAGCATGGCTAGTGATCATTTAAATTAAATAGCTTAGTGCAATGGTAAGGCACCCTGTTTTGTTGCCTATTAATCCTTAACGAGTTCTTTGATTTGTAGCACTTGACTTAACATTTCTCATTATTCTTTTCAAATCATTATGCTGATTACTTTGTAGACTTGGGAATTGTGAAAAGCATCGCATCCTTTCAATGTGTACCCTTAAAGAAGAGGAGTTGATAGGGATGTTGACTGGTCACTCTGTCCCATGACTGTGTGCCCTGAAGCATGGCTAGTGATCATTTAAATGCTCCATAATGCAGCACTGATTTTCAATTTGCATTAACCTCTTTTTCAGCTAGAATCCATAATGTGTGAGATTCTTTTTTCATCCCCTAGTGTAAAATGGTCTTAGTAGCATATATATGGTATAACAAATAACATCAGCATAATGCTTGTCTGTGGAAGTTTTAATTCACTGTGAGCTTTTTCACATCTTTTCAGGGATTCCATCAAACCAGATCACTCAACAAGATTTTTTTTTTAAAAAATGTTAATGCTGATATATTTCTTTCTTAAATGCTGCAATTCACAGATGGTACCCAATCATGAGAAAGGTGAAGGTTTCCCTAATTCACTTTTGCTCTGCATCTGCTTTGTTTCTGCTTGATAAAGAATAAAAAGCAACAGGAGTGCTAATAAAGATCTCTACCTGCTTCCCATAGTAGGAGTTGCTGCAACTGCTTCTTTGGAACTGATGGTACACAGTGGTGCCTCGCTTGACGACGTTAATTCATTCCAGTGAAATTGCTGTAGAGCTAAAAGTCGTAAAGCGTAATAAAAAAGCCCATTGAAATGTATTGAAAACTGTTCAATGCATTTCAGTGGGATGAAAACTCACCGTCCAGCGAAGATCCTCCATAGGGGAGGCCATTTTCCATGCCTGTGCAGCGAGGAATCTGTCTCTAAGCACAGCGGGGGCTTCCCATAGCAGGAGTTGCTGCAGCTGCTTCTTTGAAACTGATAGTATACAGTGGTGCCTTGCTTGACGACGTTAATTCATTCCAGTGAAATTGCTGTAGAGCGAAAACGTCGTAAAGTGAAATAAAAAAGCCCATTGAAATTCATTGAAAACTTCAATGCAAAAGCGATCGCAAAAACATCGTGAAGCGGATTTGTTGTTAAATGGGGTAATCGTAAAGTGGGATATGACTGTATTTTGGTTACTCCCATGCACCTTCTTATGTCATCTTCCAGTCAAACCATCTTTTTGCGATCGCAAAAGCGATCGCAAAAACATTGTTGTGAAGTGGATTTGTTGTTAAATGGGGTAATCGTAAAGTGGGATATGACTGTATTTTGGTTACTCCCATGCACCTTCTTATGTATTGTTGTGAAGTGGATTTGTTGTTAAATGGGGTAATTGTAAAGCGGGGTACAACTGTGTTTTGGTTACTCCCATGCACCTTCTTATGTCATCTTCCAGTGAAGAAAGACATAACAGTAAAATAAGAATGCCAATGAATTTCAGCCAACCGCTTGCAATTTGATCTAATAACAGAACACAAAAATTGAATTTGCCATTAGGAGGCATTTTAAAAATCATTTTGGGAAGGGGTGGACTATAGAACTGTGATACAACTGTGTTTTGGTTACTCCCATGCACCTTCTTATGTCATCTTCCAGTGAAGAAAGACATAACAGTAAAATAAGAATGCCAATGAATTTCAGCCAACCGCTTGCAATTTGATCTAATAACAGAACACAAAAATTGAATTTGCCATTAGGAGGCATTTTAAAAATCATTTTGGGAAGGGGTGGACTATAGAACTGTGATCAACACGGTGCCTTTAGGCTAGTGATTCAATAGCAAAGATGCTGTAAGAAGGGCTAAATGTCTGTGATACATTTATGCTGCACACTATAAATAATATTTGTCTTAGTTGTGACATTGCTAGTGGGGCATATGCTAACATTGGACTTGCTCCTTTTTATAGCAAACGAAGCTGGCTGGCTTGCCCTTGATTATCTGGAATGTAGAATCTTGAGAAGTCCATTTTGACTCATTGCTAGACTTCACTTAGTCTCAAAAGCACAAATTCACTCTCTCTACAATCTTTACAATTTATGTATTTAAAATATGTTTGCCCCGTCTTTCTTCTTAAAAGAACTTGAGGTGGCTTTCGTCATTAAAAGACAATAAAGAATCAAATACCACGCTATAATGTGGTAAACAAAAACAACACCAAAGCTGCATTCGAAGCAACGAGGCAAATTCACTGAGAGAAATCTTGCCTGAAGAGTCTTCACCTGCTTGTAGAAGGACAGCAAACATGTCTGGCCTCTTGTAAGAAGGAGTTCCAAAGTCTGAGAGCAGCAACAGAGAAGGTCTTCTCCTGTTTCCCCACCAAATACACCTGTGAGGGTGGTGCGACCAGAGAAAGGGCCCTCCTGATGATGTTAACAAGTTGCGTCCATTACACGTACACAGAACTGGATTGCTTGACACTTCAAAGATAACCTCATCCCTAGTCACACCATATTTTACCATTTCATTCTGATCTTACACCCTCACCCAAATGTTTCACCTTCACTTCTAAGCCATGTGGATCTGATTAAGTGGTCTGCAGTCCACAGGGACGTGGTGGTGCTGCAGGCTAAACCGCAGAAGCCTGTGCTGCAGGGTCAGAAGACCAGCAGTCGTAAGATCAAATCCACGTGATGGAGTGAGCTCCCATCACTTTGTCCCAGCTCCTTGCCAACCTAGCAGTTCGAAAGCATGTAAAAATGCGAGTAGATAAATAGGTACCACCTCGGTGGGAAGGTAAAACGGCACTCCCTAGTCACGCTGGCCACGTGACAACGGAAACTGTCTTTGGACAAGCGCTGGCTCTACGGCTTGAAAAACGGGATGAGCACCGCCCCCTGTAGTCAGACATGACTGGGCTAAAAATGTCAAGGGGAACCTTTACCTTTACCTTAGTCCTCAAAGGGTTATGACAAAGGAAGCTTGCTATAATTTAATGCTACAGCAGATTAACATGGCTCACCAATGGAGAGGTTTTCCTACTGAATGTTAGCCGTGTACATTGGATGATATGTGCCTTAATCCATGAAAGCTCAGCGTCTAACACATTCCTTAGTCTTTAGAGTACCAGCAGATTTCTCTCTTCATTTTTGCTGCCACAGAATAAAATGGCTGCCCTCCTGAAACCATCCAAGTTCATGAAGAGCAACAGCGATGAGTATTAGAAATGGAACATTCTGCCGGATTGGGAGGATTTTGCCTTTGAAAGCAAAAAGCAGCGATGCAGCATAGGAAGAGTTACATTCACACCCTCCGCGTACATCCAATTCAAGGACTCGGGTACAATAATTAAGACCTATCTCCTGCAGCTGTCAGGTTTTGCCTTCTGCCAGTCTGTCTAAAAATAAAATCATGTTTGCAGAGGCCTTTTATTTCCCTCCCAAATGAGATTTATAATTGATGTCTTCTGACAGCTTGTGCAAAGCTGGTGTTATTTTTTTAAAAAAATAAAATCTTTAACTTAATGCAAGGGTATCTCTCATTGTTATTCCTCTGAATTGGTGAAACTCTGAGCTGGCATGCAAATAAGTGCAGCGCCTTGACCTGCTCGGACCCCCTTGAAAACCGTCTTGTCGAGCAAATGGATATGAAAAGCCATCGCTCCTGCGGTGTTTAATTCAATACACAATGCAGTGCATTGCTTTCCTGTAGATTTAGCAATTAGACCAGTTTTGGGAGTAAAAATAATGCCCTTGTTTGAGCTTCTTAAAAGCTTTGTGACTTGACATTTAAAAATCAGATTTTTGGGTGTGATTTCAATTAAAAAATATTTTTTAAAAATTTAAATCATGATTTAAATCAAACACGTAGCTTGTTGTGAAAAACTGGCACAGCGCTTTGCGGGCAAAATCGCTCGGATCCACTCTGACTTGGATGCTGTCATGAACACAGGTCCTGTAGATGTAACAATGGCTCCTGCTTGTTCTGTGTTGATGGATACATTTGTGTTTTTTGCAGCCTGATGATGTGGACAGGACCCTTGGAGAGGGGAAGGCTACTACTTGTCTGCTAGACCCTCGCCCGTTCTGGCTTATAAAAGCTGCGAGAGAGATTGACCAAAGGGTAGTGAGTGCCTTCTTGCAGCAGGATAGGATCCCAGCTTGCTTAATAGTGGCAATAGTAAGAACATTATTGAAAAGAACTTCTTTGGACCCCACAGTACTGGATAAATGCTGGCCAGTCTGTAATATCCCATTCTTGGAAAGCTGCTGGAGCGGGTTGTGGCTTCTCAGTTCCAGTGGTTCCTGGATGAGACAGATGATCTGTATCCATTTCAATCTAGCTTCAGGCCTGGTTATGGGGCAGAGAGTGCTTTGGTTGCCTTGGTGGACGACCTACGCCAGGAACTGTTTCCTTGCTTTGTTTTGACAGTTGTAGATTGTAAACAGTTTGAGCAAGGATCGTGACACTTTGGTATACTGTCATAGCAAGAGAGCAGTCCCATTACTAGTCCTGTGCCGTGCAGTTTACGGCTGTGCTGTTCATGACCAGTGTTACTGGTGATTGACTAGTGTT